TAACGATTGTTTTTAACTCGTTTATTCCTTATTGTTGTACACAACCCTGAGCCCTTCTGGGGAGGGCGGTAGATAAATAATTACGAATACGAGGAAGCGGTTTATGTACCCCAACAACTGTGCAGGAGGGGGTCTTAGCACGGGGGTCTCCACAGCAAATTGCCGCATGGGGGTAGGGGAAGGGAGCAGGGTCATAGAAGAAGAAGAAGAAGAGATTGGATTTATACTCTGCCCTTCACTTGGAGTCTCAGAGCGGCTTACAGACTCCTCTCCCTTCCCCTCCCCACAACAGACACCCTTGTGAGGCAGGCGGGGCTGAGAGAGCTCTTGACAGAAACGGCTCTTTTTCAAGGACAGCTCTGGCAGAACTGTGGCTTGCCCAAGTTCAGCCAGCAGGTGCAAGTGGAGGAGCGAGGAATCAAACCCGGCTTGGCCAGATTAGAGTCCAGAAACTTTACCACAACACCAGACTGGCTCTCAGTAGCAATTGTGGTTCGTATAGGGGGAGCAGGGGGGCTGGCCTGGCCCCGATTGGGATGTCGCCCTCTCACTTTCACGTTTGCCTTTATACAGAGGCGTCAAACTCATTTGTTACAAGGGCCGGACCTCCTATCTGTGTCACTTTGTCGGGGTGGCCCCGCGTGTTCCGTTAAATGTCATGCCGGGTCCTGGAGACGTAAACTCAAAGTCCCTCTGGATTCACCAGAAAGGTTGAGAGGTGGGACCCTCCAGCAGGGAGCCCCTCTCCTCTTTCCCGATCCCCTCCCCTCTTGCGGAAATGTCCCCATCACTTAACTCCCTCTTTCCTGTGTTCTGGGCCTCCTTCCGTCTGTGTCCCCCCAAATTCCTTTTCTCTTTTCTTCCTTTGCAACTGCAGTCGGTCTCTCCTCCCCCCTTCACCCCGCTCTGTTTGTCCAGTTAGGTGGATGTGATAACGGGGACTCCTAAAAGCAAGAAATAAATCCTCCATAGGGTGTTTCCCCCCCTTTATCTCCTTATTCCCCCCCCCCCCCCCCCAATCTTCGGAGAAATCAGGAGCCCACTTCCTAAGTGGTTCTAACGCTTCAGGCACACAGAGCGGAGCAAGAGAGCGGCTTAGGAGTCGTACATAATTATTTTCGTATAGCATTGAAGTATTATTTGAAATCCATATTCCTAAATATTTTGCTATCTGCACTACCTCCATTTTTGAAATCTCTTTTATTTTTTGTATTATTTTTTGTGGGCCGTTTTTAGTTATGATTTTAGTTTTCTGAAAATTGATTTTAACTCCAGCTAGGTTACCAAATTCCTGAATATCTTCTATTAGATAGGATAACGAGTGCTCCGGTTCTTCTAGTATGAAGATCAAGTCATCTGCGAAGGCCTGTAATTTAAACACTTCACCTTTGACTCTCAGACCTTTTATCAATTCATTATTTCTTATTTTTTCAGCTAGCGATTCTATAGTAAATGGGGATAGTGGACACCCCTGTCTTGTGCCTTTCTGAATTGGAATGTTTTGAGTAGTTTCTCCATTGAATAAAATTTTGGCACTTTGCTCACTATATATAGCTTTTACCATTTTATAGAAGTTGCTCCCGCATCCCCAAGCTGTCAGTTTTTGCAGCATATAAACCCAGTTGATATTATCAAACGCCTTCTCTGTGTCTAACAGGATTAACATCATTTGTTTCCCCGGGTGTAGTTCATAATACTCTAAAACATTAATTATAGTTCTAATATTGTTTTGAATCCTTCTTTTAGGTAGAAATCCTGACTGATCTTTATGTATTATCTGTATTAGTACCTTTTTCAATCTATTACCCAGTATTTTTGCAAATAATTTATAATCTGTGTTTAGTAGTGAAATCGGTCTGTAATTCTTTATTTCCTCCTCGTCAGAGTTAGGTTTATGGATCAGTGTTATAACAGCTTCATTCCAGGAAGGAGGTAGTTTATTTGATTTAGGAATGTTTTGTAATAAATCTTTAAAGGGGTTCAGTATCTGATCTTCGAATATTTGGTAGAACTCCATGGGAATCCCATCTGGGCCTGGGGATTTTCTTTTTCCCTCATTTTTTATTTCCTCTGTTATTTCGCAAATTGTAATTGGGTCATTTAATATGGCTAACTGTTCTTTATTGAACTTTCCCTTTTCCCATTTTCTCTGATAGTCTTGTACCTCTTATTAAAGAGAGAAGCTTGAAGGGGAAATTAAAATGCATGATCGCTGAGCTTGAGTTCATTCAAAGATTCAGAACAATGGACCCCCCTCCCCTCCCAGGGCAGAACAGGGACATAGGATTCTTATCTCACAGGTGCTAATTTTCTAAGCAGTTCTCCTCTGTTCTAATCCAGCTAATTGCAATGTGCTTGCTACCTCTGTATTCCTGAGTTCCTTTTTTGAAGCACCCCTCCCACCCTCTGGCGGGGATATAAACACTGAGAGATCGCCATTCTGATTCAAATATGACAAAACGATGCCTTGAGTCGGAAAGCTTTTACCTGAAAAACCTTGTTAGTCTTCAGGTGCTCCTGGGCTCAACATTAGATGTTTGTAGAAAGTGTCATATCCTCACACCAGGTATCCCTTTCTTTCTGCAGGAGTTATGTGGTGGTCAGCGAATGGAGCAGAAGAACCCCGACTGATGGGAAAAGAGGATGCATATTCAGATGTGATAGAGAAGTCTGGATATTTGAATGCACCAAGGAAGGAGAAGGGAAAACACCCACCTAAAGGGAGGAACAATTCTGGTCTTTTGCAAGGGGGTTACTCTCTACGGCAAAATACACGTCAAGGAGCCAACAGGGATGAGCGCACTGCAAGGAAGAAAAGTTTCACTGACATATCAGTTATTAATATTCACCAAAGGATGCGTAACAGAAAGAAAATATATAAATGCCGGGAATGTAGAAAAAGTTTCAGGCAGAGAGCGCACCTTACTTTCCATCGAAAAATTCACACAGGGGAGACACCATACAAATGCCTGGAGTGTGGGGAAAGGTTCAGTCAGAGTGGCTCTCTTACTTCCCATCGAAGAATTCACACAGGGGAGAAACCATACAAATGCCTTAATTGTGGGAAAAGCTTCACTCGGGGTAACACTCTCATCTCCCATCAAAGTATTCATGCAGGGGAGAGCTTATATAAATGCTTGGAATGTGAAAAAAGTTTTAGAAGAAAAGATGGTCTCATCGCCCATCGAAGAATTCACACAGGGGAGAAACCATACAAATGCCTGGAGTGTGGAAAAAGCTTCAGTCAGCATAGCGGTCTTACTACCCATCAAAGGATTCACACAGGGGAGAAACCATACAAATGCCTGGAGTGTGTAAAAAGCTTCAGTCAGCATAGCGGTCTTACTACCCATCAAAGGATTCACACAGGGGAGAAACCATACAAATGCCTGGAGTGTGGGAAAAGCTTCAGTCAGCATAGCGGTCTTACTACCCATCAAAGGATTCACACAGGGGAGAAACCATACAAATGCCTGGAGTGTGGGAAAAGCTTCAGTCAGCATAGCGGTCTTACTACCCATCAAAGGATTCACACAGGGGAGAAACCATACAAATGCCTGGAGTGTGGGAAAAGCTTCAGTCAGCATAGCGGTCTTACTACCCATCAAAGGATTCACACAGGGGAGAAACCATACAAATGCCTGGAGTGTGGGAAAAGCTTCAGTCAGCATAGCGGTCTTACTACCCATCAAAGGATTCACACAGGGGAGAAACCATACAAATGCCTGGAGTGTGGGAAAAGCTTCAGTCAGCATAGCGGTCTTACTACCCATCAAAGGATTCACACAGGGGAGAAACCATACAAATGCCTGGAATGTGGGAAAAGCTTCAGTTGGAGTAACAATCTTATCTCCCATCAAAGAACTCACACGAGATAACCATATAAATGCCTGGAGTGTGGAAAAAGTTTTGGAAGAAAAGATACTCTCAGGTCCCATCAAAGAATTCACACTGGGGAGAAACTTTAGAAATGCTTGGAGTATGGGAAAAGCTTTGGTTACAGTAGCAGTCTTGCTGTCCATCAAAGAATTCACACAGGGGAGAAACCATACAAATGCCTGGAGTGTGGGAAAAGCTTCAGTCAGCATAGCGGTCTTACTACCCATCAAAGGATTCACACAGGGGAGAAACCATACAAATGTCTGGAGTGTGAGAAAAGCTTCCGTCACAGTGGACACCTTGATTCCCATCAAAGAATTCACACAGGGGAGAAACCATACAAATGCCTGGAGTGTGGGAAAAG